CCGAAAAAACGATATCCCCTTGGCTTTCCGCCACAAAAACGATATCCATCTTGATCTGGTGCCAGCTGTGCCGAGCCCTGGTCGCAGTTTCTAAGAGCGTGTTGTAGAAACTGCAGTGAGGAAACAATTATTTGAAAAAGGATGAATAGCTTCATCGAATGCGTCCAACTATTGAGGATCTTCAGGAAATTACTTTCGAACGACCCTCTATCTCTTAGTTTCTATTGAGACTCAATGATCGTGCTCTCTAGAACAAATTTGTAACAACGACTATGCTCACAGAAATTCAAAAAATGATACTTGTCAAAAAAAACATTGCCATACTCTCACTCCAGCGATGTGGAAGCAGCAGTCGCGATATTTTGCTTGAGACTAATTTAGTAAGCGGGAACAGGAAAATGGAAAATGATCAACTAGGTGAGATGGCTGAACTGGAAGAATTCTTAAGATAAATGGATCCCAAAACAGGGCAGTTGTGGGAAATTCGCCGCTTGATTCAGTGGTTCGAATTACCGTGTAGCGTGACAGAATGGAAGCTTAAGTGCTTCGATGGCTAAACATGATCCGTAAACGAACTCGGTGCATATTAGGCTGTGTAGATAGCTAAGCTAACACCAGCTAGTTAGAGCAAATTCACAATGAAGCGGTCTCTTTCGGTGAGATTTTTTATACCAATGGTGAATATGCCGCTTGACTTCTATTTATAACGCTTACTCAACTGCAGACCAAGCTCATTAACATCCGACAACTGTTCCAATGAGCAATTAGAGCCCATAGTGTGGATGGGCATCGCTATGAAATTAGGTGGACAAAAGAACTGTTTTGAACATTTGTCATAACACAACAAGTTTGGCAAACGATCAATAGACAGATAGACAGATTATATACAGTCGAGTAGATTTCCTTCATATAGTGTCTCTCAGATGCGACAACGCTTGTGCGTCAACAAACTGCCATTGCGAACATCCGAGCAATGTTTTCTAGTGTTATTTGCTCATTCTTTCCTTGGGTAACTCGTTGCTTATAAAGTAGAAAAAGGTAGTAAGAGAGTAGTCTCTGTTTTCTGAATAGTTGTACTATCACTGCCTATTTTCAAGTTTACACGTATACGCTGCTGCATGACGAAGGCGCAATATCTTTGGGCGCGAAAGCGGCTTTGTTAGCCGCAGAGCGCATGAGGCGCAGTATTTACAACGGTGAGGATACGCGCGCAGTGTTCGCGCCCGCTCAACTAATACTGTTTGTGCGCCTTCGTCATGCAGTAGCCTTTAGAAGTTGCATCAGTTTTGTGTGCATTTTTTGTCACTTCATTCCTCTTTTTCTTCTTCAAAGGCAGTGACTGGAGAAAATCGCGACTGGGGGCTTTTCACAACTACATGGCCTTCTGGACCAGTTGAATCAGTTACTGTGCTTGAAATGTCAAAAAAGTGTTTGTGCCGTTCAGGTCAGACGCCTGAAAACGACTCGGCGAGGACGACGAAAGCGTCGAAACGTTAGGCCAGCACCAATAAATCTGTCACCATAACAAACCTGTACGGCACAACAGAGTTTAAGATTATAAACAATGCCCAGTTTTAAAGAAAACGGAACATGGAAATGATTGTTTTCTTGGAGTTTACCGGCCTTGCAGATTGTTGAAAAGGCGGGGCGAGGGTTTCCCGCCATAACCAGCAAGTGACTGCAGGATACGTAACTTCACCTATTTTGGCGGCAATTGGCTGATCAGCCCAGGCAATCAATACGATAAAGTTGGCGGTAATCGCCCCGCCTCTCCAGCAATCTACAAGGTCGGAAAACGCCAAGAAAGTACTTTTTTGACTTTTCAAGCAAAGTACCTGACTCAGCTGGTTCAGAAGGTCATGTAGTTGTGGAAATCCCTACTCGCGATTTTCCCGAGCCACTGTCTTCAAACGCCAGTAGGCTCTGCAGCAACTTTAGCTTCCCCTTAGGAATAGATAGCATTTGGTGTAGTGTGATTGAGACGATAAGTCAAAAGTAAAAGCCTATTAGTGTTTAATGAAATGCTTCATAAGAAAGAAGCACGAAGTGACAAAAGAGGTACATGAAACTGACGCGTGAACCCAAGTTCTACGTAGATACTGAGAATAAGCGATGATTTGACTATCCTATGTAATAAATGAACGAATGAATGAATGAATGAAATGAGAATGAGATGGGATCTGTTGCTTCACTTTCAACAGGCCTACGTTGCAGGAACAAATCTCTTTCTCTACTAGCACAGTGTGGGACGAATGGAATTTCCGAGATGGTTTAACACTTTTCATTGGCTGCAATTTATATCTCGCCGGAACTAATGGTAGAGAAAAGAGGCTTAGTAACCTTGTTAAAATTCAACTCCAAATTCAATAATCCATATCATTTGCACCCGGCTCAGGCTCAGCAGATCAAAGTCGTCGTGTACCTTGGACTTTGGCACTTCGATGGCTCACGACTCACTCGCAGCCTAGCTCCTTTTATCCACATTATTGCTTATGTTTTTAGAGTCTTTTCATTCTGAGTTGGTAGTACATATATCCTTGATTTACGATATGTTTTATGAATTTTTAGGATGCCATTTTAGCTGGGCATCTTACACACGATAGTGCTGTGTATAGTTTGCTTTATCTCTATCATCTTTATCTTGGCTGAGGATGTACTATCTAGGACGGATGGAAATCTATGATATCATCTGTTTTTTTTGTGGCTTGGGGGTTATGTCTTTCTCAGAGAGGCTTGGCGGAAGAGAAAGGGAGAAGTACGTGTCGCCCCATAAAATTAGAGGAAACTATTGAGAACCATGAAAAAATCAGAACCCGTATCGATCGCCACCCAGCCATTTTTGGAAAATTCTGTACCTTGGACTTTGATAACTCAAGACGAACTCCGTCACTGTCAGTCATAGCTTGGTCGGTCCACAGTCATTACTGTGTTGTACAAAATTATAGCTTTGTTCTCTACTCGTTAGGCAAAAACTCTATTCGCTTATCCATTTCATTCGAAATCCAACGATTCATAATCTTGGTCTTTTGATGCATCCACCTTGCCAGTGATTCATATGATTGGTCCAATATGTTCATTTCAACTTTGTATCCGTAATCCATAAATCCGTGTAGGATCGGAGTTGATATATTCCGGATGAGAACTTGGTTTTAATCTTCATAACTGATACGGGCGTGGTCGAGCTTCATCATCGTTGCAGCGCGTGCGATTCACTGCGTATAGGTCGATATAACTGCTCGCAAACCGTTTCGAGTGTGCCTAGCACGGGCATCCGCCTTCATTCGCCGTTAGCCTTTACAAGACACGTGCTTTTGCTAGGTTAACCGTCTCAGCTCAAACCTAATTCATGTAAAGAGCGAAAGCATAGATGGGCTTGATTTGAAAAAGTAAGGCTGAATTCTGTGCGCAGTACAGCATAGTCTCGTATTTCTTCAATAGTCAATTATCCAAAGCCGTGATTACATCTCATACGAGGCTTCACCGTCAGTTCTCGACGAAGCAAATTCTATTCGTTACAGAGCCATTCGTTGACGTCGTCATTGAAAAAAACACGTCTTTAGTTGCTTGGTTTGGAGAAATAAGGGGAGATATAGTAAGCCTATTCAAGCAGCTTTACACCTTTTCTAGACAAGTTTTTCTGTAAAGTTATCGGCTGCCCATAAGGACTTGTAGGAAACAAACAAGGTGTGCATTTGTTGCTCAACTTTCGATGGTCTTGATTAGACATTATTAGGGAAAATGATGGAAGTTACTCAGTCTTCCACAACGTTCATTGATGGTTTCTTTGGTGAAGAAATTTCCCGATGGCCCAAATCGAAGAAAAACCAGATATCAGATAAGAAGTTTTTGCAGAATGGAAATAGGACTTTTGCTAACGCACACTTGTGAAAGTATTTGGTTAGTCCATAAGCTGTGCACAAAAATTTTGAAAAGTCGTAAGATTCGTGCTCTCAGCGAATTTGTTCATTTCAGCATAGCTTAGAAACACAAGAGTGCGCTCTATATTAGTGTCTAAGAAATCCATGTTGGAGTGTCACGGTGATACAATGTTAAGAAATTAACTGATTTGTAATTTTCTGGATTTTGGTTAAAATGCCAGAAGATTCAGGAAAATCTGATGACATCTAATTCGATTCCATTGTTATACAAATAAAATGCATAGCAAAGTAAAACACTCGTTGCTCGAAAAAATATAAGTTAAATAAACCGTGGATTGAATACATCTAAGTAAATTTTTGGCAACTTTGTGAACCTAATAATTTTTATGCAAAGGCTCATGAGAGAATGGGAATATATCATGTCTAATAGAAATTCCGTTTTAAGTATGTAGTGTTTTTTTTTTTGTTAAAAGGATATGAGGCTTTTGTGGAAGTTTTGCTAGCCTCAGCGAATAGATGTGTTTTTAGTCATCTGATAGTGGGTTTAAGTAATACGCAGAAAAATTACGTCTTTATAAGCTGACGCTTCCGCGGGCAATGAGGGGGGGGGGGAAGGCGTTAGGTACTCAGCTGAGTTGCGAAGACTTCGCATTTGTCAAGTAGCGGTATACGTTAGGCCACGCCTCTTACCCAACCTAGCTGTCGGTATACCCAACAATACACATAATCTATAGATTAGGTGTATATACTTACTATAGTTATTACTAGCACGCCTCTTCACCCTGGCCGATTGCTCCAAGTTCACTGTGTTCAATTCTTGTACTTGTGTGCCACGGACTAGCAATAATAGGTTGTCTCATAATTAATGCACGTTTTTTTTAATTTCAATTTATAATCAAAATAACTTTCTTCCAGAACCATCTCATTGAACGGATTATAAAGCAAACAGCAAGCCTTCGGCTAAACCAGGCATGCTTCTGTTGGGTCGTTCCTGGGAAGATTTTTGAGCCCGAAAATCCCAAACTATTTTTCTAGAACTATGTTCTGAGAAAGCTCAACTTGCTTTCAAATGCACTAGGATTGCGCTAACATTGCCCATTATGTAGCAGATGGCCGGTTAAGCAATGGAGTCAAGTTTGGATTTTACGGCATTCTTCTGCGAGGTAATTGCAAAAACTAACACTGCAAACACACATATATAATTTATTCTAATTCTAAAGCATGAGGCGATAAAGCCCTCTTGCAAACAATAGTTTTCGAAAAATGTCAGAATCAATCATGATGAGTATAGCGTGACCAAGTTACAGTCCCAGAAACATTTTTTAGGCAAAAAGAAGCTACTCGAGGCACAAAAACTAGCTGAAGAGGCATGAATTTATCGCTTCTCAAAACTGGACTTCCAGCTGGATATTTCATCAATCCCAAGATTTTTGCAAGTGCAATCACGTCAAGGATCACAGGAGGATGATCTTACCTTCGTTGTACATCTCCAGAAATGATATTCCTTCAGATGCAAAATGATTATAGGTATGTATTCGAACTTAATGTCAAATCTAATAATTTTAAATGTATAAAGGCACACCGAAGCTAATCACTTGGTTTGCTGCTTACGATGTATTTTTAAGCTCAGATAATATCTTAGATTTTTGATGTTATATGAAGATTATATGTGAGATGATCATTTGTATAATAAAACTCGTTGCGGAGTGGTTTGACGGAACAGCTTTCTCTGAATTAGTAGGAGACATGATTTGGAAGAAAAAGCGTAAATAACATCCTTATTAAGTTATTCGTGCTTTTTTCAATCACTGTCCATAAAGAGCACTTTTTTTTTGTTATTGCAAAATTTCTTACAAGGCAACCGCGTGAACGGGTCGCCGAATTTATCTTTCTAAAGAGCAGATTACTTCTTTATCGTTGAGCTAATGTGCGCTATCCCCAATACAACAAAAAGGTTGTTGTATGGAGCAAGCGATAAGTGTGCAGGCTCTGAGTGATCAGGCGTTTTATCGCAGTGAAACGTAGAGTTTTTGTGACTTCATCCAAGGCTTTGCGAATTTGACCAAGAATCCAAAATAAAATCTGCAGGGTTTGGCCCTTGTTGTGACACGCAGTTGAGGCTATTGTGCTTAAAAAACATGCTTTCACACTTTACTCTTGCAACCGCGTTTTTTATGAAGCAAGAATCTGGTTATTCCAGAAAATGATAGCAATTTGGGAGAGACAGGCTGAACGATGAGGGTGAGTAATAGACGAAGGAGCACCCGGAAGCGAGCAGCACAAAAGACAAGGAAGAGAGGAGGAAGGAAATAATTTTTTGCAAACACCTCTTCGAATCGCAAAAATCTATTTGATTCGCAAATCTCTGAATCTGAGATAGCCTCTATACTAGTATGGACATACTCCACCAGGAGTGAACAGGCAACACAAAACCATTCCTGAAAATCCACGTACATGTCCATCTCACTCATGCAGGAAGATAATTCGTCAGTTGTCATATAGTTTGTTTAAATTTTCTGTTAGCAAAAATGTTTCACAGCCTTGGAGTCGAACTCCCTGGAATGTGATAGAGAAAATTGCCAATCCTGAGACGTATCCTCTCGACCATCTGTACGCGTTAGTATGCACTGAAGAAGTCCTCAATCAACCACTTGAAAATCACAACCTACAAGGGATTTGTCACATAAGGAATTCGCTCACATCTGTGTGTGTTTGGCTGAGTGGTTAGTACAGCGAAATCATAGAATGACGCTTAGGGTTCGATCTCGTGGGAGATCAAAGCGATTTTTCGGATTTTTAAGAACACGATTTGCGATTTTCTATTAGAAAACATAAGAAATTATTCTTTAGCTGATAGGTTTAAATGTGAGGCACAAAAAGTGAGACTTCTATTCAATGGACGTGGGGCTTTGATTTGGGAGATAGCCAAACCGCGAACTAGAACAGTAGCAACTGTTCAATTGTTGTTCGGCGTGGTCGAATGGATAGAAGCATTGGCTCTTAAAAGAGAGGTTAAAGTTCAAGTCCTGGTTGACAACTCAGTTTTGCATCCAGCAGCTACAGCAAAGGTTCATGGGGCGCCGGGGACAGCTCGAGAGTGTGTACGGATGGCCGAATGGGTAGCGTATCCGACTACAACGAGTGCATAGAAGGTTCGAATCCTGGTATGTCTCTAAGTTATTACTCAAAACTTCGTTAATAGAAGTTTTAGGTTGAGTACCGGGGCGTCGGAGGGCGTGCTCAGTACCGAAAAATGGAGACCCTGGGGCGCATTCGTTTGGATGTGCCGTGGGTTGGAATGGGGGTTTTGCACGTTTTTTGTCCCATGACGATAGATTGCAACATCATGGGGATTTTCCATCTTGTTGGATCCCTCTTGCTTCTCTCCCCCCCCCAGGTCTTTCCTTTCTCTCCCCTCCCCTTCCCACTCTCCTCTGCTGTCCCCTGCTCCGGTCCAGCTGGCTCCTCTTCCTGTGCTTGGCCTACCTTGCCTACTTGCCCCTCGCTGGGTGTACCCAGCTCGCACTACTCGCTTACCTTTTGAGTGAGCATTGTTTTTCACTGCTTCGTATATCTCTTGCTTTCGGTTTTTGTCTAAAGTGTGGGGAAATTCTCTGCTTAGAGCACATAATTTTTGTATAAAAGTCTCTATTAACACTCACCTGCCACTGCTGAGGCTGAACCTGTGATGCTCCACCCCGTAGTTGATCAACATACCTTTCTACCATCTGAGACAATTGGAAGTGTCGACTTTTCATTTATCAGGGATGTTGTCCCCGCTTTGTGATAAAGATAGAAAGCTCAGATAATTCCACAAGTTTTTTTCGGTTTATTTACCCAAGTTTGAGGTACCTGGCTCACTTTTTTGCAACAAAGTGGATTTGTACTTTGCAAAGCAGTTGACTTTGGAAGGGACCGATCCTTCAACCATCAGTGTATGATCCTGCACCACTGTCAAATGCACCAGGAAACCTATTGTTGCGACCTAAAAAACGTGCCACATCAACCACTAGGAAGATTTTGCGCTCATTACTGATATAACCATCAAAACATTTTTGAGATTTTTTCCACTTCTTGAGGTTTCAGCTATGTTACATCTTCTTTCTGTCATGTTAGTCATTATTGAGTATGTTATTAAGTTTGTGGGAGTTATTACTCATCATTATCAAGTCCTGTGGCTTTGAAAAGTCTGTGGTTTTTCAGTGATTTCTAGCTCAGTCAGAGCTCAGGTCTGTATAGAAAGCTGACTCCGAATGTAGACAAACATTCTCGTTAGGAAGTTTTTACTCTTGAAAAGTATTATAAAATGTATCTCATCTGCATCGACACAACATCTCCACCACACAACAAGTCAATAGTTCGTATATCATCTACAAAGGAAGGACGGAGATGTATGGTAACCACTGAGGAGAGGAATGCACACATAACTAGAATCTGTAGTATCATTGCTTTGCTATGTACTGGTCTATTTATTACTATCAGCTGCTTATCATGGAGACGCTTGTACTGCTCTCGAAGGACGTTCTTTTGTAACTTTGCCATAGGTTTCTTGGAAGTTCTGGTAGAGAGACGACTCGTTTTGGCACCTTAAAACTGTGTAGATCATCGAAAGCAAGTTACACTGTAGAAAGAGGAACAACTCACCCTGTACTTTACGAGTGCTTCCTTCAGAGGTTCTACGACTTTTGGTTTTGCAGCTTATTCATTCAAAAACTCCTCGAAGCTCACAGCTATCACTGCTACCGGTGCTTCGCCAGGACTTTATGTGGAACACCTAAGATAAAACCATTAAGACAAACATTGCCATATATATGAAAACATTAATCTATAGATTGTGAGGTTCGATGAGGACTGACGCCACAATTTGCGCAATCTTGGCAGTTTTCTAGTGTATATATTCAAGTCGGATGTCGCAGAAAGTGTGGAGTGAAATGGTTGGGAAAATTTTCAGCGCAAAATGGTTCAAGTATTTCCTCACTTAACTGCGGATTCCTTGACTTTGGGAAGTCTATCGATGCAATTTTCCAACTCTCATACACGCTTAACCTCCAAAAATCACGAATTCTTTACATCGACCAAGTCATTAACTTGAAAAAAATCCTTTTAAAAGAAAGTCATGCATTCATTCCAACGGAAAGCACTGCACTTGCATATTAACGATCCGAGAAAATCATTATAGCAAAATAGTAATGGTTTTTTGGTCCTAATGTGATCCAACATTTTTTCCAATAGCTATAAGTGAGCGAAACACAAATGCACAAAATTACTTCTGAATCATCGGTAACGACGCTATAACACCCATCAAAGAGATTGAGATTTTGGTTCAGTTCCTCAAATTTTATACTGTTTATGAAGTACTGCTGGCGTGCTATAGATCTAACAATAAGACAGTAGTCTCTGGACAATAGTCCTGAGTGAACGGCATGCAAGAAATAATTTAGAACTGTTTGGAGCAAAGTCTTTGATCAGCGAATGAATAATGGTAGAAACTCGTCTGATACTCGCTGTCTCTTTTAGTTTAATTTGTTTTACAAAGTGTGCAACAATTAGTAAGCTACCGCATGCCATAGAGGACTTTGGATCAAGCATATGTAAAAAAAATGGACTAAAATTACTTATGAGAGTAAAAGTGTGCAAGTGACTTGTTCTGACTCGTAAATAATTGAAATAATTTCTGAAAATTCCAAATTCCAAATTAGCCTGCAAAAACTTTTTTTTCCACTGGCGTCGCTGCTGTGCCCCCTTCTTCTTGAATTTCGAAATTATGGGTTCGCAAAAATTTTGAGAAGTACTTCTTATTCCAAAAAGTCTTTTGGATAGCCTAAAAAATTCTCCCCCCCCCCCTCCCTCCATCCCTTTCCGAACAGGAACTACGTTCCTGAAGGGGATAATTGCAACTTTTTCCGGCGCTTTTAGAAAACCCAAAGTTTTTTTATTTCCAAGACTTCCCGATAAATCATTATCAAACTTTGATGAAAATCCAATCTTGAAAACTGCGCCGCAAAGCGCAGGCTTTCTTTAATGGTTATTCGCTGGTTTAAAAAGATTGACATTGAAAAAAAGCAAAATTAGGGGAATTCAAGTTAAGGTAAAATTTACAGGTAGCAAATTGTCTACAACTAATGAGCGCCAGAATGCGCTGCGAAAGGTGAAGCATAGCAATATTGAGTACGCCGTTAAGCTTTTAGTAGGCGCTGTTTGCGAGTTTTTGCATCAATTCAAACTTGTTAAAAAGAAACTTTTTGAGTGACCTCATGTCAAGCTTTACTCATATGTGGCTGTTAAAAGATGCAATAAGTCTTCACCATCTCAAACGTCCCATCTCTTTCAGGGGAACTCAAAAGCTGAAAAGACTTTTCCTAAGGCCTAGATCAAATAGCTCATCCTTGCTGCCAGATAAACATTCAGTAAGAGCTGCCCTTGGACTCCTAGAAACGTACCGACAAACAATGTAGCTCACAATCAGAGCTCAAGTCGAGTTTATCCTCCACCTACGCTGTGGGCTATATAGGGCTGTGTGTGATCGTGAAGGTCGGTAAGATTGCGGCCGTTACTCGCGCAGGATGGCACAATGCCCCAAAAAGCCGAACAATCCCCGTACATCCCAAAATCAACTCGCAACTCCAACTAAAATTTATCTCAAATAAAATTATAAGACCAAATTGAACAATAAAAAGGACGTCCTCCCAATTAATACCTCGAAAGCATCTCAAAAACATTTCAATTCTAAACAGATAGCAGATGCATATGAAACAAATATTATCTGTCCTATTACAGTCCACGACCTTCTCATATCATGTGTACAGAACACTACAAAAATAAAAAGGAGATGATTATTACGAACTGATAATAGGCATGGTAATAGGTACACTTCTTTACAAGGACGGAATAGTTAGTGCCATCCCTAACTCCGCATCGCTTAGCCGCAGAATTCAGATACTTTCCGAAAAGCCGAACATCTGAGTGGATTTCTCGAGAAGCCAAACGTCCTCGAGGAAGACCACCGACGAGATGGGCAGACTTGTTCGTGGAACGGATGGACCAGCTGAGAAATCAGCTGGATACGACTTTCGTCCCTGGAACTCGTGGACGCAGCCACCGACGACGGCCAAGAAGATCGTGGATGTCTGGAGGGACAGGGAAAAGGCAACTTTGGTACTGGGGTCCGCACGTCACGTGAGGACGGGCCATCTAAGTATCTAAGTATCTAAGTATTTTTTATTTAAAATGATGACAATTTCTAGAGCTAATGCACCAATGTCGCTAATCTGAAAGATTTGAGCACAAAAATTAGGCAACGTTTTTTTGTGAACTCTATAAAGTCTGCTAGAAAACTCGACAAGACTATGCAAAATTTGGTGATTCTGTTCCATGAAGTTAAATTACTATTGAGAAGATTAATCAGCGGTAATACTCTGGAGTTTTGAAGCGCCCAACTTCGTGATCTTTCATAGTAGAAACAAAATAAAGAACTTGCTGATAGAAATAAATAAGATTATCCCATGCGAACAGCATGAAACTATTTTTGAAATGACATTTGAGATGTCAGTCGTCTATAAAGGGGATTTTTTCTTACATCAAAGATCTTTTGCACTCGTATTAAACCCTTTGAACGCTCACCATCAGTCTAGCTCTTATAAATGTTTGCCAAAGAAATTCCTCTTCACCGATATGACCACGTCATAGTGCTGCAAATCAGTGTTGTACGACCCCCCCCCCCCTCCCGAGAACGGGTCGCAAAATTTTTGAAAGTTGCTTACATGAGCTATAAAATTGTGCGGATGACTTCTTCATGCTTGTAAATAATTAAAATATTTCAGGCATCAGCCACGCCCCCTTCTTCTAAATTTTCGAGGTTATGAGCCCGCGAAAATTTTTGAAAGCACCCCTAAAATTTTTTTGGAGTGCGTGGCTTACGCCACGCACCTTCATTAGAAAAAATTTTTGTCGCCCCCCCCCTCCGGCCCAAATCCTGGGTACGCCATGCTACAAATGGAGAAGTAGAACGTAGAGAAAATTCATCAAAAAATTATCACATGAAAATCTCTTAAATTAAAGGGGCAGTGCTGTACGTAAAAAAGCAGGAAGCTTGGCATACAAAGTTTGAAATACCACAGCGGAAACTGAAAATAAGGAAGAGAGGTGGGAAAAAGGAAATGGAACTTAGTTCATATTTCTAGTATTTTTCAACCTGACCGTGATCATAGTGACGTGTCTTTTTAGTCAAAGTGTAAATTACAGATAAATTGGTTCATACCATTTCAGAAAGCACAACACATCCATGAACAAGCCATTTTCTAAAATTTCTACCACTTCCAATAGGAGGGTATTTTGCTCCAACTTATTCTTGGAGAGTGGGGGGGGGGGGGGGGGAGGCATCGTAGAAAAGGGAAAGAAGGTAGTCCCTAGCATCTTCTTAGCTACAAAAGCCTTTTTGGATATCAAAAACAAACCAACTCTTTGTTATCCTCGCTGCTCGCACTCGTTTTCACAAGACATACTCAGACAATCGACGGCATACCTCCGGAGCGAAAATGGGAGGGTCTCGGGCTTTGTCCAGCGGGGTTTGCTACTCGTGCTCCGGAGCCCTCCCATTTCACCCATTTTGGTGCTCTGGGGCTCCTCCAAAGTTTGGCGTACCTCCGGGGCAGAGATTTGCGATCCCCGAGGAGAAATCCCATTCGCCTTCTTGTGAGGCGAATGGGACCCCTCCCCGGGGCTCGTAAATCTCTGCTCCGAAGGTGCACCAAACTGGAGGAGCCCCGGAGCACCAAAATGGATGAAATGAGAGGGCCCCGGAGCACGAAGTGGCAGACCCCCGCCATTTACCCTCCGGAGGTATCCCTTCGACTGTCTGAGTACGGCCATCGCGGTAGGTTTCTAAAACGATCACTGCCAAATGCGCTCGAGACGAGCCTATACAGCAGTCGCTGGAAAATGGCTCACAAATGTTGGTACAGTAACTACCAAATTGGCGCGAAAATCATGCAATCAAACTACCACTTTCCAGACCCATTGCAACAAAGTCTGTTCAATGGAAGTTTTCTTCTACATTTAGAATGATATCAAAGCAGTGCTTGCAGTGAAACGCGAAATTTATGGTCTAAAAAAAGAGCAGTACGTGCTGTGAAGGACTGAGGGGAGAGAGAGGAGGGAAGAGTTGGATAGTTTCGACGCGTTTAGGGCTACTTGGTCATTTAAAGGAGTGACTAGAGCGCGCTCTTATTTACAGTGCTCTAAATGCTCTTTCATTTTCAAACCGAGTTCTAGTAGCATCAGGGACGCACTCATTTTGCCTATAATGGGAGATTTGTAGGGCAGATCTATATGCTGAAAAGGGCAATTATCAGATGCTTTACAGACCCAGCAAAGCAACGCGGCTGACCAGCAAGTTTAGAGGAAGTGAAGAAAAAATTTATAAGAAAACTCCTTTGTAAGCATCGTGTAGACATTCTCATTCGTATCCTGATGATTGAGCTATATTATCAAATAGAGTTTGGCAAACAAGCTCAGTTAAAAGGAGGGCTTACCAGGTACAAATT